CCCGCCCCAGATTTAAACAGCCTTTTGAAATATGGATTGGGAGGACAGAAATCAAGTCGTTTGTTGGTTAACCTTACACAGATACAATCTAATACAAGAAAACCAGAAACAATGAAGAATGTGACAGCATCTTTCATCCACAAATTGTTCCCACAAAATCTAGCACCTTTGGTTCCATCTTTTGCCAAAATTAAATGGATACATCGTTTAAATTTATTGTTGAAAGTCTCTGTTTTATTGCCTGGAGTTGTGTCTACATGGGATGCTGACTGAGCAGTTGTTACTGGGCAGTCATTTAGTACTTCTGCATACTTGTATATATAAGTACTAAATAATTTTTAGTTATTAGTAGTTGTATGGCTTTAGTAACCAAATGGCTTTTAGATGACGCTGACTGTGCAGTAGCTTGTTATTATTGTGCAGTAACGTCTCATCACGCTTCATGCTACACAATGCTACTGCGCAGTAGTAATGAGATACTGCATAGTCAGCATCTCATGTAGATGCAGCCTGGGAGAAACGGAAGAGTTATTTTTCTACCCCCAATGCAAATTTTACAAACAGCAGTTTAGAATCCACAGGCAAATTTTTCAACTAGATCATGTTCCAAATTAGATTATTTTGAATAACTGCAAAGGATTTTCATTTTGATAATTCATATTAATGAGACATAATTATAATAGATTTACTATTCATGCTTGCCTTTCTTACAGAATGTCCCTGTGTAAGCAGAGAATGTGCAGTCACACGAAAATCCACTGTATTTCTCTCTACACTTTCCTCCATTGTGACATAGGTTACCATAGCTGCTACAATGTCCAGGACAACCTGGTTCAACTCCTGGAGTTATCTTTGCTCTTTCTTCCAAGTCAAGGGCTACTCCATTTAACTGCAAAGAGCGAATACATCCTAGGAATCCTTTCTGCCTGGATGCAGTCCCACCTGAAATAAATTCACATGAACTTTTAGAAACTGAAAAGATATGATTGCATAGAAACCTATTTATTTTAGCAGTCTGTAAGCATCCATTATGGGTTTCTAAATATGTAAATCTATGCAGGTGAAAATATTTATAAAACTGTGTAAAGGCACATCTGTTTTTTTTCCCCTTGTTTGCTTTTATCAAATAATTACAGGAAATGCTTGAAGCTTCCAATCCAGATGAAGGATTTTGTACAGTAAAGCCACCAAGCAATGGTATCTTTCCAACCATATTTCTATTAATTCACAGCAAAATAATGTGTGCGCATCAGATAAAAAACAAACAAACCTTCTAATTGAGAAGAGGAAGGGTAATCCAGAGTTTAGCTCATTGGCCTAGGGAACACCCAAACACTGCTACAAATCTCCTGCGTGACCTTGGGCAGTCACTTAGGACCAGATCCAAAAAAGGTGCCGAAAATACAATTTAGGCAGAATTTAGGCACCTAAGTTTTAAGTCAATAAACCACAGAGACCTTGCTTAGATTTCTGAAAGCCTATATGTGCTGAAGTTTTCACAAGAAAAATTACCTAAGTCCCTACGTTATTGTTAGTATGCTTGCCCAGCACAGCTGTCAACTTGTCTGAACCGAGCATCTTGGGACTTTTCGTTCATTTAAATCTATTTGGGATCAGAAACTGGCATCCCAGGTCTACATTTTTAAGGGCCTGGTTTGGTAGGCGTGCTCAAACCGAGTACAGCACAAAACACAACATTCATAAACACCAGAGAGGTGGGCGGATGGTGCTGCTACCACCTACCTTTCACATAAGAACACTCTCTTAGGAAGTGGGCATTCCTGCCCACCACAGACTGATGTTTAGACCCACATAGCCCATATCCCAGGAGTACACAGATTTGACCATGGCCATCACAAAGAACTTACGCATAGGAAAGCCCAAACAGTCTTATGTAGGAGGCCAGTGTGAGATATTCAGCTCAGCCAAGATGGCAGCAGAACTTTGGGCACAAGTATAATCTTAGATGTCTACATCCTCCCAAGTACCTAAACAGTTACAAAGACTTTATGAAGATCCTTTACTTGGAGTTGGGCACCTAAATTCTGACTTACTTTAGGCACCAATTTTTTTTTTCCAAAATATGGCTCGATCATTCCTTGTATTGATTCCCCATTTATAAAATGGGGATGGTAGTATTGTTCCCATCTCATAGAAGAGTTACGGGTAAGCAGAAGTTACCTATTGGGAGAGACTCAGATACCATGGTAATGGAAGCCATGCAAGTACTATAAAGCAATAATCTATTCTTCCTTCCTCTGGATTTCTCTGTGCAGCTTAACTTCCTTAAGACATAAAACTTCATTAGAGCAGGAGTATATCTTTATGCTTATACCAAGGGGGAAGTTATATGTTGCACTTAGACTATACTAAAGGCACTTAAAACACCAATGTCCACACATTAGAGTTTGTTAATCCATGCTCAGTGCCCTCTAAGTGTCTCAAAGTTATACCACTTCAGAAGAAGGTTAACTTTGGGCTGTGCTACCTAGTTTGTGTTAAGGTAACTTCAATCTTCCACAGAGATAAAACAAGCAATCAACAGTCCTTCAGCATCCCAGGAGTCACTGCTTCCAGCCCCCAACCACTGAGCCCAGGTGACATAGCTCCTAACCACCTCCCTGCCTGCAGCCCTCTAGTGGCAAATCACAGGCAAGAAATGGTATTAACCTTTAATGTGTGACTATTTACAGCACATTCTAACTTGAACACTGCTTATGTAATCTATTTAGATAATATTTTGTATGGTTTTAACATAACATTTAACTTTATCCTAGCCACAATGCCCTGCCTTCTGATTTACCACGGTGTAAGAAAATGCACAAGGATAGTTAACCACAACAAAGCACAGTTTATGTGCTTTGAGTCCTCATCCCCTTTTACCTGACTGTGCTTTGTTTGCTTGTCCATAGTCTAAAGCAAGCTCTCCCTCTACAGAAAGATACTGCAATGAAGGAAGCTTCAGAGCATCCCTGAATGTGCTTTTATGTCTATATTCCACCATCGTGACAATCCTACATTTTTGCTACCTATGTTTTTAGTGTATAACTATATTTATAGTACACAGTCCTCCAAGTATTCCATATAGCAACTAATGGCTTTTAACAAATGTCCCAAGCAAATTAATTAAAATTGAGATAAGGTATTTGTCCTCCTATTTATTTAGTTATTACTTATGTGTTTAAGTATAGATAGATAGATAGATAGATAGATAGATAGATAGATAGATAGATAGATAGATAGATAGATATTCAGTTTTATATTGGATCTTTAACAGATATCAAATAACATTTACCTTTTGAGTATTCACACCTCCTGCTGAAGAAGCAAGTGGGGAAATGCTCAAGTGAAACCTAACCACTATAGATTTTGGTCCTTTGGTTTTATTTACAGATCATTCTTTGTGTTTTCATATGTGATTGCCATTGTCTCTGCACAGTACAGCTCTCTGCAACTAATATCATATTCACTATAGTGCCCACAGACAGGAGACAATCTGCAACACATGTGAGAACAGTACTTGCCCATTCTTAATCTGTTGTGGGTTTAGGTGCTGTTTGTTACTATCTTCTTTTTCAAAGACAGCAAGCACCCTACAAGTCTATACTAACTGTAAATCTTATTTATTTTCAATATATTTTTAGTTACATGCTACATTTTTCAGGCATAATTTATTTTAAAAAATTTTCACTCTTTGTTTGTAAGGTTTGAAAATTTTTGGAGCTTTGGTAAGAAAGCTTGATCTTCAATACCCATACAATTTTATGGGACAGTTTTGGAATTTAGCTATAGTATAATTTATAACTAGAGGTTCAGAAAAAATAAAAACAAATCACTATTTAATCTTGTTACCATCAACATTTTAAAAAATTGGTGAAAACTATTCTTTAGTTGATATTTCTCAAATACATGTGAAATGCATACAAGCAATAATGACTTTAAATATAAACTAAATTGTACTGCATTCAGAAAGACCTTTAGCTTTAACTATATGCTGCTCTCATAGTATTAGAATTGTAGAAAGTTATGGTTGGAAAGGACCTCAGGAGGTCATTTAGTCTAACCCCCTGCTCATAGCAGAACCATGCCCAACTAGATCATCCCAGCCAAAGCTTTGTCTAGGTTTTGAAAACCTCTCTGGGTAACCTGTGCTAGTGTTTTATTACATTCTTAGTGAGAAAATTCTAATATCTAACCTGCACTTCCCATGGTGCAACTCGAGACCATTGCTCCTTGTTCTGTCATCTGCCACCACTGAGAACAGTCTAGCTCCATCCTCTTTTGAACCCCCCTTCAAGTAGTTGAAGGCTGCTATTAAATCCCCTCTCAGTCTTCTCTTTTATAGACTAAATAAGCCCAGTTCCCTCAGTCCTTCCTCATAAGTCACGTCCACCAGCCCCCTCATCATTCTTGTTGCCCTCCACCAGACTTTCTCCTATTTGTCCAGATCCTTTCTGTAGTGGGGAGCCAAAACTGAACACAGTACTCCAGATGTGGCCTCACCAGTGCAGAATAGAAGGGAATAATCACTTCCCTTGACCTACAACCAATACACCTACCAATTCAGCCTGATATGCTGTTCGACTTCTTGGAAACAAGGGCACACTGCTGGCTCATATTCAGATTATTGTTCACTGTAAACCCCAGGTCCTTTTCTGCAGAGCTGCTGCCTGGCCAGTCAGCCCCCAGCCTGTTGCATGGGAATGTTCTGTCCTAAGTGCAGGATTTTGAACTTGTCCTTGTTGAATCTCATGAGATTTCTTTTGGCCCAATCCTTCAATTCATCTAAGTCACTCTGAATCCTAGCCTAACCCTCAAACATATCTACTACTTTCCCGATACTGGTGTCCTCTGCAAACTTGCTGAGGGTGCACTCTATGCCATCTTCCGAGTTGTTGATGAAGACATTGACCAAAAACTGTCCCCAGGACCAACCCTTGGGGCATTCCACTTGATACTGGCTGCCAAGTAGACATCAAGCCACTGATTACTACTCTCTAAGTCTGATGCTCCAGCCAGTTTTCTGTCCACCTTACAGTCCATTCATCCAGCCCATTATTTCTTAGCTTGCCTGTGAGAATGCTGTGGGGGATCTTATCAAAAGCTTGGCTAAAATCAAGGTACACCACATCCACCAGTCTCCTTGCATCCACAGACCCAGTCACCTCATCATAGAAGGCAATCAGGTTGTTCAGGCATGACTTGTCCCTGGTGAATCCATGCTGGCTGTTCCTAATCACCTTTTTCTCCTCCAAGTGCTTAGAAATTAATTCCTTAACGATCTTCTCCATGATTTTTCCAGGGACTGAGGTGAGGCTGACTGGTCTGTAGTTTCCTGAATCCTCCTTCTTCTGTTCCTTAAATATAGGCACTATGTTTGCCCTTTTCCACTCATCTGGGACCTCTCCTGCTTGCCATAAGTTTTCAAAGATGATGGCCCGTGTCTCTGCACTCACATCAGCCAACTCCCTCAGCACCCCCCAGGTGCATCTCATCAGTCCCTATGGACTTATACCTGCTCAGCTTTTCTAAGTAGTTCCTAACCTGTTCTTTCACCACTGAGGGTTGCCTACTTCCTGCCCAAATCGTGCTGCCCAGTGCAATAGTCTGGGAGCTGACCTTGCCTGTGAAGACTGAAGCACAAAAGGCATTCAGCACTATATCCTTTTCTGCACTATTATTTATATAACCCCCAAGATGAATATGTTTTACAAATAAATAAATTATATGTTTAGTCTTTCCCCTTCAAAAGGTTACATTGTTAATATATAACTAAATGACTTCTGGATAACTAAGAAAATTACTATGCAAACAGAATCATATGTTAATATGGAGTGATTCTGCTAATGCCAGTCTTAAGCCTCTAAGGATGTCCACTCTTAATGAGATATTTTCACTAGCCTGAGCAGATTCAGAAATTCTTGAGTAATTGTACAGTTAAT